CGAGGGATGAGCAGCAGCACCAGGACGCAGTCGTGGTCGCCTCCGTGGCGCAGGAAGCTGTCGGGCATGAAGGAGGTGAGGAGGGAGACGTGGCGGTTGGCCTGCTGCACCTCCATCTGCCGCAGCTCCATCTCGATGGCCTGCAGGAGACGCACGGTCAGGGCAGCCCCTCGGACCCTCCCCAGCCCCTCCAGCGTTTGAAAAAGCCGGAACCTCTCTCCTCCTGGGATGCAGCGGGCACCTCGCTGCCAGGCTGCCACAGGAACCACTTCTCATCGTTACCAACCAGGGCTCTGCAGAGGTCCCCGGGGACCAGTCTGGAGCTCTGGTCTGACCCCGGGTACAGGCGAGCAGGGATACAGGGAGCACCAAGCACCCTTTCTTTCCCAGCAGCGCGATAAACCAACGCCTACACGTCAGCCCTGAGCCTGCTCTTCCACAAGGGAACGTCCCTTCTCGCACAGTCGTGTTGGATTCTGATGTTTCTCCTGGGAGAACGGCGCGCTGCTGTCGCCCAGCACCACCAGCTGACGGTCCTGCACCGCTTCCCACTGCACTCACCTCCCCAGCTCCGCGCCCAGCTCCGCGCCAGGCAGCAAGAGCCCGGTTCCACTACGGGCAGCGGTGGCAACAGAAGGATCTCAGGGCCTTTTGGTGGCACCGTGGCCAGGAGCAGAGCCCACGCCAGCCCCTGGCACAGAGACCACACGGCGGTGGAGGCAGAGCTGGTTTTCCTCTTGATTAAGCTGCTTTTCCCGCTTAAGCCCTCCCTGCACGTCCCCGTGCACACTAGTGTCACACGCTGGTGTCTTCCTCCCTTCTATCCTGTGCCCTGTCTTCCTCCCAACTCCTGACAATCCCTCAGCTCATTTCCACGGCTGGCATGAGCACCACGGGCCGATTCCGAGCGCCGTGCCGCAGGGTCACGGGGAACACCCGCCCCAAGCCCATCACCCCGCACTGGCGCCGTGCCGCGGTGCCGCTGCGCCGGGAGCGTCGCGCATGGCACATGTGCCCGGTCAGCTCGTGTGCCCGCTGCGCGGCTCTCCGGCTGCCCTACCTTAGCGTGGGCTTTCGTCTCCGCAAACTTGATCTTGAAGTCAAACATCTCGGGAGGCGGCTGCTGCTGCTTCTCGGCAGATGCTTCTTGCTGACTCATGAGTTCCCGGTTCATGGGAAGAGCCTGCCATGAGGCGCACAAGAACCCGGCGCAGAGGGGATCCGTGATCCCACAGCCACGGCGGTGTGCCCACACCCAACCTCCCAATGCCCCCTTCCTCGGGGAGCGGGCAGGGGGCACCGGGGGCTCATGGTGCAACGTGCACCATCGCTCTACGGAGGGATCTGCACAGGCCTCAAGTTACACCAGGGACAACTTGGATATTTGGATATTAGGAAATGCAGAAATATTAGATTGGATATTAAGAAAAATGCCTTCCCCGAAAGGGTTGTCCGGCTCTGGAACAGGCTGCCCAGGGCAGTGGTGCAGGCACCACCCCCGGAGGGGGTTAAAAGCCGTGTAGTGGCGCTGAGGGATATAGTTAAGCAGTGAACTGGGCAGTGCCGGGTTAACAGTTGGACTCAATGATCTCCAGGTCTCTTCCGACCCGAATGATTCTATGATTCCATGCACAGCGATGGATGAAAGCACGGAAGAGGAATGCAAGTGCTTTCCAACCGCTCGGCTGACAGCACGCGGCACTACAGCCAAGGAATCCACGCAGCCTCGTTACCCATCTCCTGCCACTGCCAGCAAAGCCCAGGAGAACCCAGCGCAGCCCTGGAACAGCCCCGCGCCACTCCCTCGTCCAGGACTTGGATCCCAAGCCTGGAGCACGAGCAGCACAGCGCAGCAAAGGGCTGAAGCAGCCACGTGCTCCGCAG